TGAAATACAGAGTGGACAAAGGAATCAGAAGGATGTGTTGTGACTTTGGGCAGAGCAAACTGGGTGCTGTTCCCAGGGAGAGATTAGCAGCTATCTTGCTGAGAGATCCTGGTGTGTAGCCAGTTCTGAACAGCCAGTACTGCATGCAGCCACCTCTGGAGTGAAGAGGGAGAGAAAGTAAATGCAGGAGAGGAGGCCAGGACAAGTCTCTATTCTTATAAGTCACATGAACTGTAACGCCAGACACAATTTGGTCAGTTCTGTTTGAATACACAGGATCCAGCATGTTCCACTAAACTTGTGTTGGGTGCCAGGGTACCAGGTTCCTTCATAAAAATGGGGCACTGTCTCTCTCATAACCTAGACCTATTTGCAATTCACCTCTTTTACCTTGGCTGCAAAGCTGCTTGTTCTCATCATGCCATAAGCTGAATCTTTATAATAATAAGCCTTCATTGAATGGTGGTGTCCAAAGCCATGGTATTACTTGCAGCAACACTTGGGGTAATGAAGAGTTCAATATTATCAGTCACAGATTTGGTTTTGATAGCAGTGTACTGACTTCTGCTATGCGGAGAGACTAATGTGGTTGGACTGAAAAGGACTCTATAAACAGCAGTTTTGCTTGGGGCATCAGCTGTCAATCATGCTGTGTGAAACCTTGCAAATGAGGTTAGGATGCTGGGTAAGCATTTTATCTGTTGTTTAATCAAGTCCTTGATGCAATCTTCATGGTCCTTCTAGATTCCTGGAGGAGACTCTGGATAGGGATCTAAAACAATTGTCAAGAAGTACACCTGGAATTACAGAGTGATAGAAAACTCCAGTCAGATGACATCCTTAGAGGGGTTAGTAAGATGATGCTGGTGACAGATAAACTGGAGGGTGATGTCTGATTTGAAAGAGAATGACTTTTTCACTTTGACAAAATGAAGCTGAATGAACTGGAATTTATGAAAGATATTCTTCATAAAATTTGTTTTAATCCACAAAGAATTTTCCTGTTCCACTGAGTAATATTTCCACAGTTTACACTGCAAATGGGCTCCTATTCAAACTGTGCTGCAAGGACATTAATTAAAGTGTGATGAGTTTTATAGTGGCTGAGTTGAAGAGACCTATGTCTGCTCATGTTACATTTGCAGCTACTTCCTTCTTGATCGCTTTAGGATGCAAACACCCCCAAAAAATTACCAATTAGGTCTTGTGAGGAGGGAAAGAGCCCAGCAGGAAAGTTGCATTTTCTCTCTGTTTAACAAAAAGGGCTGAAGACCTCTCTCTTCATCTCCTTCTGCCCTTGCGCAATTCCTTGATGAGACTGTACTTGGATACACAATGAAACTGGCCTTTTGATCTGCAGTGAGGCTCCAGGAACTTGCGTAGTAAGAATCACTTTTAAAATGCATAGAATCACAGAATGGATTGTGTCGGAAAGAACTTTAAGATCATGCAGTTCCAACCCCTGACATGTCACCCTAGTCCATGTTGCTCAAGGCTCTGTCCAACCTGGACTTGAACACTGTCAGGGCTGGAGCATTCACCACTTCTTTGGGCACCCTGTTCCAGCACCTCAGCACTCTCACAGGGAAGAACTTCTGCCTTAGATCTGACCTGAAATTCCGCTGTTTCAGTTTGAACCCATCACCCCTTGTCCTATTGCTGTGGTCCCTGATGAAGAGTCCCTCTCCAGCATCCTTGTAGTCCCCTTCAGACACTGGAAGCTGCTCTGAGGTCTCCACGCAGCTTCTCTTCTCCAGGCTGAACAGCCCCAATATTCTCAGCCTGTCTCCATATGGGAGGTGCTGCAGCCCCTGAGCATCCTTGTGGCCTCCTCCGGACTTGTTCCAACAATTCAATCTCTAACACAAGGCTGCTATTTTGAATCAGAAAGGACTACTTGTTGGGAAAGAAAAGTGGGTTTGGTCCCACTTGGACAACGACTTGGAGCTGCTGCATGCCTGGTGCAAGGGGTGTCACCAGGAGCAGTAACCCTTGCAGTGGCTGCGCAGTCGCTGGCACCCAGGGAATTGGTGGGTCTCTGCCTAGTTTCAGTGGACAGGTGTCACTTCCACGCGGTGGGAGAACTGCTCCTCAGAAGCAAGCACTAATTGGCTCCCGTGTTGGCAATCTCAGCAGAGATGCCAGAGTGAACGGGCATGAAATCCCACTCAAACCCTTTGTGGTTTTCTCCTCAGGTCAAGGTTGAGGTGCTTTGGCAGAGCACTGAGAGGAAAGCTGACACTGCTGCTGTCAGTCTCCAGGTCTGCCAAGCTGCCACCTTTTAAAGCACTGAAACACAGGGGCTTGAGCTTTTAAGATGTGTTTTTATTACCATGTTCAACTTTGTGCTTTTGGAAGCATTGTCCTTTGGAGGGGTTGTTGTTAAATGCTGGTGAGCAAGGGAAGGTTCTAACCTGCTCCTAAGGCAATACATACAGCAGTTTATTACTTACCTAGAGTCTGTCTTCCCTAATGTTTCAAGCATGCACCAGCGTAGCCCACCACCGTCTTACACAGAGTAAGGGAGACCCTAGTGTTTTATATGCACTTTCTGTGACTTGGAATAGTTCAGGCCTGCAAGCTATACTTTTTTAATAGATACCCTACAGAACCCGAGTATTTACCATCTAAATAGGAAGTCCATCAAATACATTACTTCAGCATCAACTATGTCAAGCGTAGGAGCATTTTTAGTCAGTCCGATGATTTCAGGGAGCCTAAATCCAGATACCTGAAAGTTTGTGAATGACAGCATTGATCAATGCAAGGACATCTCTGTAAAAAGACTCGGTGATGGTGTAATACACACAGATGGTTCGAAAGGCATGTGAGTCTTTATAACTCCTCCAGATGATTTCATTGCAGCATCCCCTGGCACCGCACAAAGGCTTTGGTTCAGTTCTGCATTTACACACGAGCTAACGAGGGAGTCTATGGGGACAGCACACAGAGCCCTCAGTAAGACCTATGACTCCAGCTTTTGCAGGGCTTGCTTTCATCCCTGCAAGTTCTTTCCTAGGAAAGACAAACAACCCATTAAAAACTGTAAGCATCTTGGCCACTTCTGTTTCCTGAAAGCTTCTGTAGAGAGGCTGACAGTCACTACTGGTGCTGGTTTAGTCTCAGTTTCTGGCCCAGGCCCCGAGGGCTCTTTACTTGCTGTTAGAGTTTTGTTTTAATGTTGATTTGTTGTTTTCTTTTTCACTAATGCTTTGCAAAACCACAGAGAGTATTAGCTCAGCTGAGAGCAGGTAATGCTGCAGACAGAACTGTCTTTAGTGTCATTTTCCTCCTTAATGTTCTTTAAAGCTTCTGTGCTGCAACCAGCTCAAATAAGCACTGTGCTCTAGAATTTGTGCCAGATAACAGGTTTTCCCAAGCTTAGTGCTCTGTACACTGACTACATTGAACATTTGCTTCCAGATTTTGTTCTTTTATACTTTGTATCCAAAAAAGTAATGGGGAACAATTGAGGTGGGGGGGTTACCAAAGGGGATGCTGCGTATGTTCAGGTTTTGGTGCTTGCAGGTCTGCTGTGGCTCCTTCCACTGTAACATTAGGAATACAAATGAAATAAGCCCCAAAGATGCAGAAAGCTGCTTATAAACTGCACAGCTGAGTACAGGATAGCAGTGGGAAGAAACCAGATGCACAGACTTGCCTTTCTTTCCACCTTTCCTTCTGTTTCTTTTTACCTGGCTCTTCTATCAGCCAAAATCACATTACTTGATACTGGGAATGTGCTGAAGCCCCAGCACAGACATTCAGGATTGCAGGTGGGCAAATAGCTGAATGTGGCCAGAAGAACAAATCCCTGTTCTTGGAAATGGGGAAAAGCTTTGAGGGGAAGCATCTGCTACTGCATCTGCTCCAAGGGGCCACACTTCACAACGATGTTAAAAAGGTTAGAGTTCAGGGAAGAGTGACATAACAAATTACCTGAATGGAAACCTGGTTTGGAATGCGGGAGTCAAGGATCCTCATACATTCTGTTCATCAAATAGAAGGTTAAACAGTGATAAAAATATCTCCGGGGACAGGGGGGGGAATACAAGCAGTAACATGAGCAAAAAGTTATCAAAGTCCAGAACTGGAAGGCAAATCTTGACTAATTCAGACTAGATACAAGGTACATTTTTATCAGGGAGGATAATGAACTGCTGGAACAATTTAAGGGCTGAAGTGGTTTCTCTGTCACTGGAAAATATTGCATGTTGTGCTGTAAGATGTGCTTCAGTTGAATCATGGCTTTTGGATTCAAAATGGGCAATAATAGATTCAGATAGTATGGAAGAGATGAAAGTAAGAGATAACACTGGTGCTTGTCTACTGTTTAAAACAATGAATTTTATCAGATCTGATTTACACAATATATATTCTTTCTTTTAGCAGTATAGTCAGAAACAAAAAATTCCTTTGTTGTTATATCTTTACGTGGTTTATTTTGTTTTTATTGTGTCTCTACCTATCTGTAATAATTCTCTTTTAAGAAGTTATGTTACTTAAGAGCTGACCTGTTTTAGTGCCAAATAGTTTCAAGGCACTGAAACTGGAGAGAAGGTTTGATTCCAGGAGTTTAGATAGCAACTGTCTCAATCTTTATACAGCAAAGTACAAAGCCCACCAAGTATATTGCACATAGAAATAGTCTATATTTGTATGTGGTACTCATTATAAAGATAGACATGCTGGAGAAAACACCAGTAGTTTTAGGTAACATAAAAAGAATTCAAAATACAATTCTGAAATTAATAAATTTTTATTGTGCCTTCTTTTGTTGGATGAAGGTTTTACCACAATCCACATATTTTTTGTATTTGCATCAAGATGGGTATGTGTGTGGGAGTACCTACGTGACAGTATAATTTGGGACAGCTCTAAGTGTGACTTTTCTTTGCATTTGGAATGGTGAGATCTGCATCCCAAGGATTCAAACATCTTTGTGTCCTGCTTGAAATCACTTGTACCGTAGATAGAATCCCACTTTTATTCTTGTTTAGGTTTGTCAATTGTTAAATTTAATTAACAGCAGTTTTGAAAAAGAAGAAAAAAAGAAGTGGAAGGATGAAATGCTGGATGAAAGAGGACAAAGGCTAGGAACCGTGACTGCAAAGCTAGAATCAGGTAAATTTAAGTAAAGGTGACCTAGACAGCCCCAGGGAGGGGCTTAAGGGGACAGTTATCATACTGATGGTCAGAAGGCAACCAATAGATGGTTCAAGTGCTTCGGGCTCTGATCTGTTAAACGAAATGCCCCTGTATTGGTGTAACTGCCAGTAGACATCCTCAAAGCAGTATTTCCTCTGGGCTTCATCTTTGAAGTATTTATGTGACTTACGGGGGTTTCATAGTTTTTGCATGTAAAGTCTCTCTCTGTTCTTCTCTTTGGGCTCACATGTATGATCAATTTACCATGTTTTAGATGGGCTGTGATTACTGTGGTTTTAGTTGAGATGCTTTTACCTTATTTACCACAGGAGAGGTACCTTTCTCATCAGGTACCATGGAGTAGCAACACTAAGGCTCACCTACTCCTAAGTTGAGCAGTGGAATAGCGCATTGTAAAACTTCCACGATGTGTGCTTTGGTCTGAAGTGTCTGAGGATGTTGTCTAGAAGGTCAGTGAATGTGATTTAAAAGTAGGTGTGACTGCCAGTCACTGGAGCTGTGAACCAGCCTAAGTACATCTTTGTATTAGCTCTGATAAAGCAAATAATTCAAGGTTTTACTGGTGATCAGTAAGCATTTAAGGAAAATTAAATTTCTATTGATTTAAACAGAAAGGAGATAGGAGTGGTATGAATTACATAAGGAAGTATAATAGGAGTTACACAGCTGCATTAATTTTATGTACTGGTGAATGTATGAAATATAATTTTATTATGCAATGCTTTTGGGTATAGCACCATGAATAAACTCCCTTCCACTGCAGGGCCCACAAGACTATGCCATTTGATATATATTTTGGGTTTATTTTGTTTGTTTGCCTTTTATTGTCACTGCATTCTCTTTGGAGTTTCCTCTCCCCTCTCGTTTGATTTGCCCCTGTTGCATCTGGTTGTAACCAGGACTGTAAATTAACCTGAGGTAAGTGGCCATCCGTTTAGTGAGTGTGTGTGTAGTGGTTGATACAGTGCAGTAACACAATCATTATTCTTCCTGTGAGGGTGCTGAGGCTCAGGCACAGGGTGCCCAGGGAAGCTGTGGCTGCCCCATCCCTGGCAGTGCTCAAGGCCAGGTTGGACACAGGGGCTTGAAGCAACCTCCTCTAGTGGAAGGTGTCCCTGCCTGTGGCAGGGGTTGGACCTGGATGATCTTAAGGTCCCTTCCAACCCAAACCTGTCTGTTATTCTGTGAATAATGACATCAGTTGTGTTGGAGTGCAAGGGACTGCTAAAGGAGCTCTGCCCAGGGAGGAAGGTTTGTAGGATTAGGTTGTTAATATTCAGCAGAATACACAGCAGTTGGGAAGGAGCAGCCGATCTATAGTAAATATTGCCCAGAGCATACAGCTTTGGCTGAGAGGGTCAAAGTAGGGAAGGGTAACCAAGCAGGTCTTTTCATAAAGGTCCTAACTTTTGCAATCCCATTTGGAGAAGGAGATAGCTCTGCTTGAGGTAGAGGATTGATTTGGAAATGTATCTGAGAGCAAGCTGAGCTGTTCTTCTAACCCTGTACCACTGAAGTCAGTAGAATATTTACCTCTAATGTCCATGGATGACCTTATGGATCAGGCCCCTGGGAGGAGTGCCACTTCGCTGCTTCTTACTGTATGGTTCCTGGCAAATGGTCTGAGCTCCTACACACCTAGATCACATGGGGCTGCTCCTTTCCATAATAAAAGTGTCAGAAAGGTAGCTTTGAATGGTGACATATAATTGAACTGCTGCAAAATTGTGGATTAAGTTGGGAACTTTGAGCTTTTCCTCATTTAAGAATCCATGAGAGAGAACAGGGCAGGGACTGAGCAAAATCACTGGCCTAAATGTTGAGAGAGGATTTCTGAAGCATGAGATAAAAATACCCTTCGGAAGCAGTATTTACAGCACTGGGTTCTGCAAGGAAATACAGGTGGAGGAAGTTTCTAGAGAAAGCACCCTTTAAAAGTACTACAGTTTATGGTGTGGCAAATAGCATTCAAAGCAAACAGAACAGCTGCAAAATATGATACAAATCACTTGAAAGTTCATTGATTTTGCAGTAAAACTGTAAGTACTTCACTTTATAATAATTGTTCCTCTCATGCTTTCAAATCTTGTACTTGAGCTACGAGAGTATTCAGGTCAGGGTTGCATTCAGAAAATAGGTGCAAAAAGACAATGAAGCTCAACTAGAGAGATACTTTAATCATGAGCTAATTTACAAACCAAAGCAAAACAAAATCATTTTTGTCTAAGATTATTAGAAGATGCTAATTCTCTGCCTAAAATTATCTTTTTCGTAACCTAAAACAACTCCCACAGAAATAAAACCCCATCTCTTATCTTCCTAATTAAATTTCGTGACTTGGCTTACATGGTTGGTTGGACTTTTTTTTCCTTGTCTGAGGACAATGCGCATGAGTTATTTGAATATGAGCTCCTCTGTAGTATAAACTCATATAAACATTGTCTTGATGATGCTAAACTAATGATAGTGCTCTTTGTGATCATTTTCTCTTGGCTCGTAGCTATGTTTAAAAGAAGTGAGCCGCTTTTATGGGAGAGAGACACGTGTGAAAATGGAGCCCTGGAAAGTGCATGCAGCCTTGTAAAATTTGTAAGAGACTTAAAACAAACCCCAAACCACCCCTCTCTAAACCTAGCAATTTAAAGCAATGTTGGGTAACAAGAACATTTCTGTGATTATACGATAAGGACACTCAGGATCAAAGCTAGGCAAGGCAAGAATAGATAGGAGTAATTTGAATTAAAAATGTGACTATATCCTTTGTTGCCTGTAATAATTTTTGTTCTCTAGAAACATTTTCCAGACCATTTTTATTTTCTTTTAAAAACCAATCACAATGACTGACTCCGTGTACATGTGCACACACAAATACTTGCACGCACTCACTTGCCAACACTTCATATAAATAAATCGAAGCATTTTGCTTTACATTTGTAACTTTACATTAGAATTTTCTTCAGAGATCCTTGCATAGCCTATTAGTAATTTGTCTAATAAGTGAATCTTTGGCTCAAGGGGCTATTCACGTGCTCAGTTTAGACACAGGCTTAAGAACTGGACTGAATTTGGTCTTGTGGGGTTGGACATCATCCAATCTGGGACAGTAATGACATCATCTGCTTTAGGACACCCTTATGCACTATGAGCAATGGGGTATGGAAAGTTAGCTGAATGCACTGCAGGCAGGAAGAAATACTTTGCATGAACTATTAGCCAAATCTGCAGCATTTCACCTTTCCCAGTCCATGAACACTGGAGTGTGCTGGCAAGCAGAGGAAAATAGGGGTGAAGTGACTCCAAGAGTGGCTTAGTTTCTGAGGGCTTTCAAGGTTTTTAAAGCATACAGCCACATGGATGCTTTTTTATGATTTAAAATGCTTGATGGTGTTCAGTTCTGTCTAAATATGTGGCTATAGTAAACAGTAGCAGACATTTCAAGTCTTTCACATTAGTAAAGTTCAAACATTAATAATGTAGCCCTTCATTTCAAAAGACTATGCTTACACCAAGGGTAATGTCATCAGAGGTACAAGCCCGTTATCATTCTCTGGGGTTTCTTTTTTGATAACTCATAGCATCTTTTTGTGAAGCTGCTCATCTTGTTTTGTCCTCCTCTTTGTTTACAGGCTATGCAGTCTGTGCCTGCTCCAGCACTAGTGCTTTCGGTGTGATATCTCCTTCTTGCCATCACACAGGGCAAAGATGGACCTAGATCTTGTACCAGCTGCCTGAGCTGGGTTTCCTGGGGAGTCTTTGTCTTCTCCAATTTGTTCTGACTGCTGTGCTGCTGAAGGAGATCTGCCCAGGGAGGAAGGGTTGTAGGATTAGGCTGTTAATATTCAGCAGAATCCATAGCAGTTGGGAAGGAGCAGCAGATATATAGAAAATATTGCCCAGAGAATACAGCTTTGGTTGAAAGGGTCAAAGTAGGGATGAACTAGATGACCCTTAAGGTCCCTTCCAACCCAACTCCATGACTATGATCTGCCCTTTGAAGGACATCTATACAAAATCAGACCAGGCCTTGCCATTGCCTGCAAATCCCATCTCCTCTTGCAGCAGGAAGTCTACAAGCATAATGCAAGCACAGTACCAGGGTTCGGTACAACTAATTTCTTTAGTGCCAAGGCAAAGCTCAGGGGTGCTGGGGAGGGACTCATCATTAGGGACTGTAGTGATAGGACAAGGGGTAATGGGTTAAAACTTCAACAGGGGAAGTTTAGATTGGATATGAGGAGGAAATTCTTTCCTGTGAGGGTGGTGAGGCACTGGAATGGGTTGCCCAGGGAAGTTGTGAATGCTCCATCCCTGGCAGTGTTCAAGACCAGGTTGGACAAGGCCTTAGGTGATATGGTTTAGTGTGAGGTGTCCCTGCCCATGGCAGGGGGATTGGAACTGAGTGATCTTAAGGTCCTTTCCAACCCTAACTATTCTATGATTCTATGATTCTATAACAAAGTAGATATACCATATGTGTAGTGGATACCAATGCCCCACCTTCAAGACTCTCTTGCTTGCTCCTCTTTACTTGACTCATTAACTAGTGCTCTCTGGATGTTCTTGTTTAGGCAAGTGCTTTCTAGCTCATCAGCTGCATCCTCTTTCCACATTTCTGGTCAGTTATTCTAACTGTATGGGTCTACTTACCCCATACTCAGTAAAATACATCTCTCATTGCTGCTGTCAGCAGCCTGCAATCCTATTCAATGATTAGTCAGGTTTCCCAGGAGCCAGAGCAGTCATGAATTTCCAGTATTTTTTTAATGCTTCTATGTGCACATCAGACAAAACAACAATGTAAGTGAGAGTACCAGATGTTGGAGAGCTACTATTGACTGCTGGAAACTCAAACCCTCTCTTCTGCTTCTTGTCATTTTTGACTTCACAGTGACGCTCTGTGCACCAAGTTTCAGAAGTGAAAGGCTGCAAAGAACCTTTGCAAAAATCTATTTAGT